ACGCCTTTGATTGGAGCCGGTACTGGGCTCAATATTTGTTGAACGTTTACATTTAAACCCATTTGTTTACAGTGCTGCTTCGTCTGTTCGAGCGTTTAGTAATCCTTGCGGTATCTAACCGGCAGAATCTCAAGCATGAGAGAAAATCAGGGAGAAATACTTCTCTAGGCCCTTTGCCGAGGTCGCGAAAGCACCAATCATGCCGTCCGGGCGAACCACAACAACAACAGGACCCGTCTGCCCCTCCAGACCATACGGTCTCCTCCCATGGCCGTCTTTATCCTCAACAACAATGTTGGACTCATCATTGGTCGTAACGTGCACCTCCCCAGGGGAAGAAACGAGCAAGATCTTGACGAGGTCAGAAGGCAAAGCGCGGACGACACCGAGCACCCCCGCCTCCTTCTCATCGACACCGAACAGCAGCACAGTATGATGAGCAGGGCTAAAGATGTCAAACAGCCGCGTGTCATTCCCACCGACGCTCACAGGCGCATCGGGGGCACGGTCGCCGGCCCGGACGTCCTGGCCCGGCTCGCCATAGGCGACACGCGTGCTCTCGCCGCCGGCGAAACGCTCGTCGAGGACGATGGTGCTCCAGCGGTAGTTGACGTCGAGCTGGAACAGCTTCCTGCCACGGATCCAGACCTGCTCGCGCGCTGTCGCGTCCGTACCGGCGCCGGCCTGCTCGGCGGCGCGTGCGTCTGCGAGCTTGCGCTGCGTGTCGACACCGAACGTGCGGTCGAACAGGTCCGTCGTGATCTAGAGCATGGCAGAGATGACGGGTATGCGTTCGATCTCGTAGGAGGACAAGAGGGCTGGGGAAGCATGGCCCTTCATCACGAGGGCGAGTTTCCAGCCGAGGTTGAACTGGTATATCGGCATTATGTTAGTCAATTGAAGGTGTACATGCTCTAGCACGTTCGCTTACGGCGTCCTGAATGCTCGAGTTCATGCCTTGACCTCCGGCCGGAGAGTGTGTATGAGCGGCATCCCCAACAATGAACACCCTGTCAACTTGGAATTTCTCTGCCATGCGAATATTTGGCCTGGAGATTCGTGCCAGCTATTCAGTTGTAAAGCTTGCATCGGATTTTAGACTGGGCGTACCTCCATTCTCCCTGCCAGTAAATGATCTCCTTCACGATAAGATCATTACGGCCGGATATCCTACTGAATTCCTTCTGGAGAGCCTTGAGGCTGCACTCGGCCTTCAAGGTAGCGTAATCCACATTTGGACCAGAGAGAATCATCTGGAACACTTGGCCTATTCCCGTGTAGCGGATTCCCGCACTATAAGAGGCGGATATATAGAGCGAAGTGGGGAAAAATTAGTATGACGCACAAAGCAGTGGGATGGTCTCCCCAGGCAAAGAGACTCTGAGAACACCGATTGGTTCTACTGAAGATGCTATAGGAGTAAAAGTTACGTTGTTGCTCCCTTTGATCCCCTCGACAACACAGTCGACTATGAACATCGCACCTCCCTCGCGGGTCTCCCCGGCGAAGTTAACGCCGAGAGACTTGCGTACAGTACCTTCAAGACATTGAGTCATAGCGAGGAAAAGTATTGAGGACAAGAGGAACGAACTGTGTCCACCGTCGGCCCCAACGACATAGGCAAACTCGGCTTCCTCCGTCACGGTCTTCCCGTCAACGGACTTGGCGAGTTGCGTGACGACCTTTTCGCCATCTCGCTGGAAAGAAACGAAGGCGGTACCCAGCTCGTGTGACACTGCATCCCAGTGCCTCGATAGCTTTGCGGAGAATAGCCTGGTGCTTCCACTGTCCGAGCGATGCTGGACGTGTCTGCACCCCAGTCAGCGGTCTACCGATTAACGACTGGGAGCCACGGGTGGCCGCGCACCTCAGAAAAGGCTGGAGTGGGATCGACCTGCTCTACAATCTTCGTGCTCTTGATGATCTTGTACGGATCTTTGGGATCGTGCAAGTTGAATGTCAACGGGGGCGCTGCCACCTTCTTGACGTCGTCGGCGACGCCGAGGAAGTGCTCGATCTCAAGCGTACGAGGCTGACAACGATGAGCGATCGCAGTCTCGTGCAAAGCAAGGTGTTGCACACCATGATTCCAGGGCCACGTTCGCCACGGTGGTGCTCGGCATCTTTCTCGATGATACGCACGGAGACGCCGTTCTTGAGCGACGACAGAGCGAGCACGAGTCCCGATGGACCAGCGCCGACCTGCGAGTTGGACCCTTCAGTCCAGAATGAGACAGACGGCTTCAGATATTTCACTTACAACTAGGACAGTTGGAGAGGACATTTGGTCAGTAGCGGTAGCTCAGCTGGAGCACTCGCTGTTGGCAAGGAAGGTGCTGTCTGCAGCCCCCGGCAGTGCAGGGTTATTGAGCCAGTGCAGTTTCAGCGCGAGCTCACCGCGTTGCTCAAACGCGGTATGTTTGCCCGAGTGCGGCCTTCGGCGAGACCGAGGTTTGATGCGTGTTTCGCAGGAAATAAGTGCATAGTACCCTGCACGAAGTTCCAGCCAGTGTATATGGTGTCGGCCGGGTGTCGTAAGCGTCGCCTTGGAGCGTGGCCATCTGGCCTTCCTTCGTGCTCTGTGCAGTCAATCTGCATGCATGGCGCGTGTCTCCGTCGTCTCTAGGCTACAGTGTGCTTCCCCGCCCACGACACCCGCGGACCGCGGGCCGTGACGCTGATGCGCTCGTCAGCCAGCTTACACAGGCCAGTCTCGCTTCACGTTCAAGCCATTCACTGCCTGGCCGCAATGCTCCGGTCAGAGTCTAGCGTTCCGTGACTCGCGCAGGAACACTCCTTGTACACGCTCACCATTCAGGCAGAATCAGCTGGTACACCAACATAGCGTGTGATCGCGTACCAGGCGGGACAAGGAGCTGTCCTCCATCCCTGGCATCGTCAGCGACCACTCAGATGAACTTCGAATCCGGATGCCGCGACGCCGACTGTGGCCGAACGCACACACAGACATGGGGTATATAAATTGTGAGCTCCCCTCATTGCCACACCACTGTCATCGCCCATACCAAGTCTCATTATGGAACAGGTTCACTCTCTACTGCCCCAGCTAGATCTCAG